ATTATGGCCACCCCTGCTGCCTCAGGATAACATCAATTGACGCCGCCTCTAACCAACTTTGATCGCTGCCCATCGACCACTATTGACCACCACTTGCCGGCCACCATCACCACCATTGGTCGCCTTTTATCGCCATCAGCCACCCGCTTTCTTCGATCACTATCAGCCGTCACATGCTCCTTTCAACAAAGTCTCTTGCGAAGTTACAATGTGTACTTCAGAATTCCAACGTACGTTGCATAACAATGAAGCATCAAATTGTGCAGTATGTAGTGTAGTACACCATGCAACGATGCACCCGAAGATAGTGCAAACAACAAACCCCAAATAAGGTGCAACGATGCCTCCCGAAAATGGTGTAATAACACACCTCACATACGGTGCAATGATAACTTCCTAAGATAATGTAACACCGCACCCCACATACAGTGCAATGATGCCTCCCAAAAATGGTGTAACAAAACACCTTACATGCAATGTAACGATACCTCCCAAAGACGGTGCGACAATGCACCTCGAAGATGATAACTTTCTTCAGACTCCTAAAGCTCTCTCCTCACAACACACTATACGCTCTAGTGACCCACTACGACCTATGCGATCCACAACTCATGCAACTCCCGACTATGAACTTTGTTGCCTACAGACACCATCACAATTAACAACTATGACCTATGTGACCAACTATGACATGTGTAGGCCACAACTCATGTAATTTTTGACTTTGGGCCCTGCGGCTAACAGACGTCATTAGAGTTCACCATCACGGGCTATGTGATCAATTACATCATAAGTTACTTATAGCTCGTACAACACCCGACTCATGCCCCTGCAGCGTACATACATCATCACAGCTCACCATTACGACCTGCACGATTTACAACTCCTGCAGCTTCCTACCACGATCTATATGGCCGACTAACTTTTCGTATAATTACTATGGAAACAATAGCTTGACGTGAATGTTGTGGACGATTGTTGCATCACCAATTTGTCATATATATCAAAGTTAAAAGCCATGGAAGTAGTTGATTATGTGGGCCTTTGTATTTTCCTACTACATTCATTACAACCAACTTTGATTATTATCAATAAATTATTGTTGTACATTTACAATGATCAACTCTGTAACTATATCTTTTTCTAATTCAATAGAAGAGTGAACATGTGTATTTAGCATTCATAGGGAATAATTCAACTAGACTAGACCTTGCGATTTTTCCATTTTTCGGGATTTTGTACGTAAGAAAATCGAGGTGTCTCCACATTTTCTTTAATTATGTAACTGTGGGCTAAATTTTCATGTAATGTTAAGATAATAATTTTTTTATTTTAATGCACAGGTTTTCCGGCACACATAAGTATATTTATTTAAAATTTTGATCAATTCCAATCTCAAAGAGTTATTATTACTTTAATTTTATTTATTTATTAATTGTTTTAAGTTTTAACAACTTCAAGAGCGCAAGGCTCTGTATTTCCATACACGAAGGAATTTGAGCACCGTTGGATCGGGAAGATTTTGTCCGTTCGATCTAGGTCTGCCAAGAAGAAGATCCAGTTATAAGCTTTCGTTTCATATCCGGTAGCCGCCCCACGTTACATTGAGCGACCATCGGAGGAAGACGTCGAAATGGTGCAGCGTTTAACCTACCGGAAGCGGCATAGCTATGCGACAAAATCAAACCAGACTAGGGTTGTGAAAACTCCAGGTAAAGATTATCCCACCTTTCTTTGCCTTCTCCTTTTCTAAGTAAAAGATCTTTTTTTCCTGTTAAATTTACCATTTCTGATCGATAAAGTGCGACTTCTACAGTTCTAGCTCGTGGGTTGATTCTTTCTTAGCTTGCATTTTATGTCTTTCTTCTAATTTAAAAATTTTCCTGTAAATATAAGACCCTTTTTCCCTGTGAGAACATCATTTAATTTTTTTGTCTTTTGGGATTAACTATTGGCTTTAATTTATTGTTTTCGAATCGATGGAAACGCAGGTGGCAGGCTTATTTACCAATACACTAAGAAAAGGGCGAGTGGTCCAAAATGCCCTGTCACCGGCAAGAGGATTATAGGTGTAAGTTGTTCTTGCTCACGTTCCTTGTTCTTTCAGTGGCTTATTTATGTGGATTTTAAAGCTTTCTTACTGCATTGTTTATATACGTACAAGGGTGCAATTGATGCTTTACTCTTTTGTTTTGTTTGTATAGAGTTTTTATGATCTTCATCGGGGCAACGTGTTCATGAAATGAACTGCGATTATGATGTATAACGAAAAAGCTGTGACACCGAATTTGCTCACCCTTATTATTGTTATATGGAGGAAATGTTTTGTTGGTCTGATAAGATTAGTGTTTTGTACGTTGGCTATTTCCACTTTGAAATCCCAAGTTCTTCGGTAAAATTGAAAGCTTGATTTAGGAAGTGCTGAAGAGTTAGGAGATACAACTATACAACTCCTTTTTATTCTTCTTTTGCTTGGTAGTTTGTTTCCCTTGATACATTTAAGCCTCTTTGCTTCTATATTATGTTAAATTTAGCAAGATGTAGACGTGAGATAATCTGTTAGAGAGGCGTTCCAGGCTAGTAGTGTATAATTCCTTGAGAGCCCGAGTTAATATCAATCAGAGTACTGGATTGAAATTATTATGATTTTTCTGTTTTAAATGACAAGCTTGATTTACTTAATGCTAATGATCTGCAGATTGGATGCATTTTTAAGGACTAAATGTATAAGTTCTAGATGTATGGTAAAATATTTCCTTTACATTTGCACTTTCGGGGGGTAGTTCCTTGCATCTCCCTGAATTCCTTCAGACCCTTTCTTTCAAGTTTCATCCTTCATTACTCATGCTTGTTTACATGTTAGGCATTCATTAATCATTACTGTTATTTGTGAATGTGATCAGTTCTGCAATTATTTAACTTTTATCTTTATTTTTCTTTCTAGCTACAATCACTCTCAAATTTAAAAGTTTGATGGGATTTTCTCATATGATTGTTTTTTAAACTATGTCAATATTATTTTTTACTTGTCTTTGGCATTTAATTCTTCTTGCATTTTACTTTTTCCTTTTAGAAAATGTTATTATTTTTTAAAGCAATGTATAATGCATTTGGAAGGTTGTCAATGTTTAATGGTCACTACCTTTATTGGAGTTGTTTGGTTTCTTTTGTTAGTTTTATCCCATGTGTGTGTGGTGGAGTTTGGGAGTGGTTATTGTGCTGTGGAGCACTAATTTAATCGTTGATCTGATCAATTCACTGGTTCAGTACATGATTGTCTGTGGAGCACTAATTTAATCGTTGATCTGATCAATTCACTGGTTCAGTACATGATTGTGTGATTTTTTCAAATTAATGATACCTAGTGGTAAGAATCTATGGGACTGTATATATTGAATTAGAGGTATGCCATTAGGCTAAAATTTGAGTAGTAAATTTGGCTTTTGGACAGAATTTATTTGAACAACTTTTGCTATTACAAACGCCAAACAAGACGATCTGAAAATCTTTCATTTACTTTTAGCTTTGTGCTGCCATGTGACAGCATTGCTGATAATCTTTGATATATGGTGAATTCATATCAAGGTCATGTAGCCTTCCAGAACATTCCCGGACATTATAGTGCTTGAGGTTGTCCTTGAGATAGGTTTCAAATTTGGCCAGTGAATTTGAATAGTTGCCAATTAATCTTATATTATGGCATTCAATTTAAGATTAAATAAAGTTTAATTTTACCCTGAAATACTAAAGCATGGCTGGAGGCATCATAGGAAAGGTTAATAAGCGCCAATTCAGTAGGATATGACAAGTAATGCTTATATTCTCAACTTTATCCATATTCTTTTTCAGTTATTTATTTCTAGATGAATGAAAACAGGTTCGATGAGATTCTTGTCATCATTGTGCACAAGGGTTTGTCTTTGACATATGTTTTGTTAGTGAAATTTGCATACTTGCCATTAGCCCCATGGCTTTGGCATTACATTTTGATTAAACAAAGTTTTAACATTACCCTGAAACACTAAAACAATATTGTATTGCATTATAAGAAAGCCTTTAAACCTTGTAAAGGCTTAAAAAGGTGGTCATATGATAAATTAGCTCTTTTATTTGCATAGCATTATCCACGTCCTTCATCAATGTTTTCCCCCATAAATATTTGGAGACAAGTGTGATGAAGTTTCTTGAGCTATGTAAGATCAATCTCAGAAAATGGTTAGAGAGTTGTTGTGGTTGTTATTAAATGGAGATTGTGAGTTTAGCTGGGTTAGGGGCCGCTATGAAGTTCTAGTGGTTGCTTATTTGTTAACTAAGTTGTTTTATTAGCATCCCATGCTCATTTTTTTTCACCATTGAAATGTTCTGTTTAAATCACTCAGTGCTTGGTACCTTTGTTTGATCTTTAAGCTTCATCTTTTATATTCATTTCTTTCTTTGCCATGATTAGGCTTTGCCATGATTAGGCTGCCAAATCTTAGAATGCAACTTTAGTGCATATGCAGGTTGTATTTTAAAAGACAATGTCAATTATATAGCGTTTATGTAGCTAATAACTTGCCTTCATCACACATATCGGGATTGATCACTACCATCAACTGAGTTTTCATTTCTGACATATATTTGGCAGAGAAAATCTCGAAGTGAAGGGGTTTCTTAGCGCTTCACAATAACTTAAAATTTTGACAAATGGTCTCACCACATTCATCTACAATACTTAATATTTTTTGTTACTTAGTGTTATTTGTTTATCGATTCTATTTCCTTTAATATGCAGTGGATTTGTTTTTACCAAGTGTGCTTTTAGATACGGTTTTTTGTTTTGGCCAAGCAGTATATTATTTTCCTCTTAATTTCAACTAATGTTTAAAATTTTAGATTCCCCGCCTAAGACCTGCTGAGTACAAAAGATCTAGGTTGTCTAGAAATAGGAGAACTGTCCACCGTGCATATGGAGGGGTTTTATCTGGCGGTGCTGTCAGGGAAAGGTCAGTTATTTTAAATTCATCTGCCTTTTATGTCTCCATTGATAACTTATCCAGTCCCACTCTCTGTATAGGATTATTCGTGCGTTTCTTGTTGAAGAACAGAAGATTGTTAAAAAGGTTCTGAAGATGCAGAAGGCCAAGGAAAAGCAAGCTGCGAAGAGTTGATTAGTAGAAGCAAAATGAAGAGTTTTGTAACTAAAGTTAAATTTTGGCATTTATGGTTAGTGCTTGTCTGGTATTCTTGGTGAGATGACCGTTTTCAGTATTGAAATTTGTTTCCGAGAGCAGTTGTGGACAGTTAATTAGGAAAAATGTGGTGAAATATGGTGTATTTGTTCTTTGTTGCTCCTCCCTTGTTTTGTTTTGAGTATCATAACTGGATTGATAAGTTTATGATTTGGAAATATTTGAAACATTCTTATTGATGTATTCTTGAGAACTTACTTGTGTTATAGGCCTTCTCACCCATTAGGTTGAAAATGATTCACTATCTAAATGGTGCCGAACTGTGTTTTCCCATTAACTTTTGAGAAATCTCATAGGAATCACATAAAAAATCTTCCCTATCACATCGAAGTTAACACTTTTTATTACTTTTTAAATAATTGTTTGCACTTTATATATATATATATAGATAAAATCTTATAAATGTCAAAGCCAAAATTTATCTTTTAGATATGTAAATACTTATAAATTGCATGGTATGTATGTGAATTTTCCTTCTGTTTATTTAATTTGCTTTTATGTTTTGGATGCCTCGTGTTCTCAAGATATTTTCTCCTTCGGAATTATTCTTTGGTTCTTTTTTACTCTCTGTGAAGTGAAATTCATAATTAAATCATCTGGCTTTGCTGTCACCTTATGGTATCTGGCCCGGCAATAATTAGTGAGGGAATTGTTTTTCTCCATGTGTGTGTACATTGCCCGGCAATAATTAGTTTAGGAATAGTCATTTCTCCATATGCGTGCCATAGCTGTCTTCATCATTATTGGTTTTATTTTAATTTTTATGGGTAGAATCCTTTCAATCCATTGAATCGAGTGACTGATTAAGCTTTAATTTATTTGATAAAGGATTGCATATTTTTCAAGTAATGAATCTGTATTCATTCTTCTGAGTCAAAATTTCATGTAAAATTTATTTGCTTCTTTTATTGGTATTAATTAACTGATTGTACTAAGCTATTTAATTCCAGATTTCACTGTTCCTTTTTAATAGATTCTTTGTGTCACCAGATTTTCTTTTGATATTTAATCTCGTTGTCAATACTTTATCTGTAGAGCGCTTCCAATTTAAGCTTCCTTCGATTTTTATCAACCTACCCGTTCAAATGCCTATTGGTACACAAAGATTCAAAGATACCGTGAAAGACCGTCTTCAATTTGCAATGATAAAGGAAATAAACCCTAACTGGTCTTCAATATTTCAAGTTTATCTCTTTTATTTCTCGCAAATATGTATAATTTTTTGTATGGTTTTGAAAATTTTTGTTCATTGTGTTTCTTCAACGAGGTCGGCTAAGGTTTCTTCTCCTTTCATCAATTGTGATTTCTCTGCTACACTCCTCTCCTGAAGAACCCTTCTATCATCTTTTTATATTTTTATTTTTTGATATTTGGTGATTTATTTTGATTGAATTTAGCTTACTTTCATTTTATTTTTCCAAATGTTTTGTAAGAAAATCAATGAATAATAATAAATATTACATTTTCTCTTAGCTGCTAGAGGCATTCACTTGCTAGTTCTTTCTCTTCTTTTTGCTCTAGCTCTCTTTTCATCATTGCATTTTCTCTACTATTTTATTTATTTGACAAACTTGTTTGGCTGCCTTCAATTTTTCTGCTGTTCAGCTTATATCTGATTATGGTTTCTGCTGTTCAGCTTATATCTGATTTCATAAAGTTCATCGAAATATGACATTTTGTTATAATTATGTATCTCTGTAATGCCACTCCATTTTACTCTTGACTTGATTAGCTTAGGAAATGGGGAGATGCAAGAAACTCTCTTCCTCTTTTGCTTACTGAACGCAAACAGTGAATAGGGACTTTGCTTTATTAGATCATGAGAAATCTATATTTCTATATGATTATAAGAAAACGACAAGCTTATAATTCTAGGGATTATGCTTCACTACATAAGCTTACTAATACAAGCTTTTATTTTCATTTTCAAGTACACTAACTCTTGTCATGTAGCAGAGAGCCACAAGCTCTCCTTTTCAATTTTTAGTTCCAAGTCACCATTTCAACTTAGGTTAATTCACACCGATGAATGGCTAAAATTATTGTGTCTGCCCACCACACGCAGAGACCGTCTCTGCGTGCGGTGGGCTAATAAAAACTCCTCCTTTAACAAAAAGTGTATGTCAGTCGGTCCATTTTTAATTTTTTTCTTAAATTTCATTGGACTGCATGCGCCGTCCGCACGCAATAAGAGCTCGATGAATGGAGACCTTCCTCCACGCTATCTATACAAAATTATAAATATTACTTAATGTTTATTCATAATTTTACTTGCTATATTTGGGTTTACCTTCAACTCTATAAAAATGAAACCACTAAAAAATTTCTACACTTCAAGTCACTTGCGGAAAATCAACTATCCTTATAAATTAAATTCTTTTGATCGATGGAGGCGGAGAATATATCAACCAAACCTTTCAACTCATAACCACTCAACATGGCATTCTCCACCAACACTCCAGCCCCTATACAACAAAACAAAACAGCGTAAAACTGCGTGGCCGATTGCAAACATTGTAATCTGCTTGAAACCATTTGCTCCCTAATGACAACCGCTTCACCACCACCTCAATTCTGGGCCGACACCATCCTCACCACCACATACCTCATCAATCGCCTACCCGCTTGCACCAATAACAAGAGGCCCCCCTACGAACTTCTCCACAACTGACCACCTTCCTACAATCATAAGTTTTCGGTTGCCTCTGCTATCTGTGGCTAAGGCCTTATGCTCAAAACAAATTAGCTCCTCTCTCCACC